TGGTTCACACCGGTGCGACTTCAGATGCGACATGCGATTTACAAATCACACATGAAGTTGCATCTAATGTATTTCTATGGCACTGCCTTAATCAGTGCAGTGCAGGGGTGGACTGACCATTCAAGCACTTGGGCACTGTAGGGTCAGTAGGGGGCCCCATGAGATGCCCCTGGTATCTTTCATTGGCTTTTTCATAGGCCTTTTTGGGTGTGGATGAGGACACAGGGGCCCCATGATCCCCTATTGCCCGGGGGCCCCATGAGTTGTCAGTCCGCCCCTGGTGCTTTCAAAAATAGTTCCTGCACTACTTTTTTTCCGATTTTATTGTGACTTGCATTGACTTCTGTTAAATGAAATTGCAAGCCGCAGTGAAATCGGAGGTACAAATCGCATTGACCTGCAGCTTTGAAATCCCGATACTTCAAATGAAGTAGCGCGATTTCAGAGTTGCATTCAGTGTGAACCAGGGCTTAATGTGGGTGAAACTAATTATTGTGTATTCATTTTTTGCAATCCAGGGCGTGGCGAGTGTGTGTCCTTTTCCTACATACGTTTTTGTAAAAGTCATCCCTCTTAGGCTGACCATACACTATACAATTTTCTTGAGAATTTTGCTCTAGATTTACCAAAAACCATATAATATGATGTCAAACCTAAACAACACTTTCAATTGTATCCAATTAGGCAGGCTCTTGCTCTACATAGCTGAAGGTAAATCTAAAGGAAATTGGGCAGAAATTGGATAGAAAATTGTAAGAAAATTGTATAGTGTATGGCCAGCCTTACTCATCTCAGAAAGGTGGGAGGTGTGGTGTAGAGGTCATGGCAGCCAGTCAACTAGTATTTTTAACAATAAAAGCCTACACATTTCTCCCAGTATAGGTTTCCTCTCAGGCTTAATTCACATCTGTGCGGGTGGTGCCGTTGCGGATCTGCACAAAAGTCCGTGCAGCCGCACCACCCGCACAGAGGAATGCAGACCAGCGGTCGGGTGCCATTAATTCTAATGGCACGCCGCCCGCACTGGAGATCGCAACTGTACTGGGAACTGAGGTTCCCGTGCGGGCTGCGGTTTCCAAAGAAGTGCAGGGACTTTTTTCCCTGCGTGTCCCGGGGCACGGCAGTCCATTCAAATGAATGGGCTCTCGTGCCCGTGCAAAACACGGCCCCCACGGCCGCATAGGTGTGAACCGGGGCTAAAGGCTGATTACAAATTCACAAGTTCAACAATTAAACATTCACGATGCCAATAGGCCCAATTGATTGTCACATCTTAAAGAAAACAACTGGATTTACAGTGTCTAATCTATATGTTTCAAATGGGTTTAGCCTGATTGGAATGTATTCAGGATCAATACTCGGGTGTTATTAATAGTATTTCTGAGATCAGTGATGTCACCCGGCTGTCAGTACAATTTACACACCCTATTGCCTCATGCAAAGCTAGACTGTAGCAGTGCCACCTTGTGACCCATGTGGGGTACTGTACTATTCTTTACCTTTTCATTTACTGTAAGTCTGTTTATTTATTACAGGTACTTCTATAGTGCCATCAATTTACACAACGCTTTACATATTTCCCCCTTCCTTTAGATTGTAAGCTCCACGAGCCGGGCCTTCACATTCCTTCTGTACTGAAATGTATTGTAATTGTACTGTCTCCCTTATATTGTACAGCGCTGCACAAACTGTTGGCGCTATATAAATCCTGTATAATAATAATATATATTGTACATTCACATCAGTCTCTAACCCTCAAGTGGCGTACACTCTAAAGTCCCTAACTCACATTCATACATACTAGGGCCAATTTAGACAGGATCCAATTTACCTACCAGCATGTCTTTGGAGTACCTGGAGGAAACCCACACAGGCACAGGGAGAACATGCAAACTCCAGGTAGGTGGTGATGTGGTTGCGATTTGAACCAACGACGCCAGTACTGCCAGGCGGAAGTGCTAACCATTTAGCCACTAATGTAGGTTTGTTATTTATTAATTTCAGGTACTTATATATAGCGCTGTCAATTTACGCAGTGCTTTAGCATTTCGAAGGATTTGAGCCCCTCTCGGAAATGTATCCTCACTTCCTGCCCTGCTGATTATGTATGTGATTAGGGCATTTTGCATGGAAGAAGGTGGCAGCTTCTGGCTGTCAGTGGTTGTTAAGGAAGCAGCCAAAGTGCAGCCACCGCGTCCTTACCAACCACTGACATCACTCGGCCTATTCACTTGTATGGCCAGGAGTCTGTGGCCACATAAGCACATAGGCAGGGAATAGAGCAGGTTGCATCATTGGCTAAATATGAACAAATTCGGACAATGATGTCATCACTATCCTGGCTGTCAATGGTTGTTAAGGGAGCAGTGGCAGCTTGCACCTGCTGCGAGCCTACCAAATACTGGCCCATTCACTTATATGACCAGACATTCCTGGCCATGTATGCAATTGGATTAGGAATGGAGCCAAAGCCATATCTGGGCAATGAGGTCATCACTATCCTCGCTAGTCAATGGTTTTGTTAAGGAAGCAGTGGCAGCTTGCACCTGCTGCGAGCCTACCAAATACTGGCCCATTCACTTACATGACCAGACATTCCTGGCCATGTATGCAATTGGATTAGGAATGGAGCCAAAGCCATATCTGGGCAATGAGGTCATCACTATCCTCGCTAGTCAATGGTTGTTAAGGAAGCAGTGGCTGCTTGCACCTGCTGCGTGCCTACCAACCACTGGCCCATTCACTTACATGACCAGAAATTCCTGGCCATGTATGCAATTGGATTGGGAATGGAGCCATAGCCATATCTGGGCAATGATGTCATCACTATCCCCGCCCCTTCCTTGATATAGCTGATGACTGCTTTGTGAGCCATCATTTGGCTAGTGTTTACCGTGTCTTTCTCGGCTATTTTTTCATTGTTGGTGGGTATCATGATTGACAATGGATTTACAATGATGGACGTGTTTGAGGATTTTTTTAAATAAAGGACTTTCATTATTAAAGGTGCCTTTCAGATTTTGATGAGCCCCCAGCCTGCAGACCCCCACAAGGGGCAAGGTTTGTGGGGATCAGACCCTTGTCCTACTGCTTTGCTGGGGGGGGGGGGGTGGAGCCCCCTGTTGAACGCATAAGGCATGGCATGTGGTATGGTTCAAGGGGGAAGGAGGAGGGGCGCAAGCTCATCTTCCCCCAGGCTGCATGCCCTGGTTAAGGGTCTATTATAGATTTATAGAGACCTCACACATTTTTTTTTATTTTGCATGGAGTCCCTGATAAAATGTATACCAAACTCAAAGGGTCTGTTATGCAATTTCTTCATTTTCCAAAAAAGGGACAAAAAAATTACAATTTAAAAAAACTCACCATGCCCCTTACTAAATACCTCGGACTGTCTACTTTGCAAAAAGGGATCATTTGGGGGATATCTGTGCTATCCTGACATTTGGGGGATATCTGTGCTGTCCTGACATTTCTGGGCCTCAAGAAATTAGATTGGCCATCAGTACTTCAGGATTGATCAATCTGCAGATATATACCATAGTTTGTGAACTCCTACAGACTAATAATTGATTTGGGTTATTTTCACCAATGAAATGTAGCAGAATACATTGTGGCCTAAATTTATAAAGAACAATTATTTACTTGCAAAATTTTATAACAGAAAGAAAAAAAAACGTGTTGTTTGTTTTCAAAATTTTCGGTCTTTTTTCATTAATTTAGCAAAAAATAGAAACCCCAGTGGCGATTAAAGCGGAGCTCCACCCAAAAGAGGAAATTTCACTTTAAGCTTTTGTCCCCACTCCCCATTAAGAATTGGCTCCTTTGGGGGGGGTGGGGGGAGAATTTGACAGGTACCCGCTCCCACTTCTGCTGTAATGGCCTAGGCAATCGGAAGCGGAAGTTGTCCCTCCCCCCTTCCTCCCCATAGTCTTTTGGGACACGTGACAGGTCCCAGAAGACTACGGGGCCATTCACAAAGCACAGAGCTTCTTGCACATGCGCAGTGGGCACCCAGCTATGAAGTCGCAAGCTGTCACAGTCGGGTGCCCACACTGAAGATGCCGGCACCAGGGAGAGAAGACAGCCAGTGAAACCAGCGATGGTGAGGACACGAGGATCGAGGATCAAGGAACAGGTAAGTGTCTGTATTTTAAAAGTCAGCAGCTACAGTTTTTGTAGCTGCTGACTTTTATAGGTTTTTTTCAGGTGGAACTCAGCTTTAAATACCACCAAAAGAAAAGCTCTAGTTGTGTGAACAAAATGATAAAAATTTAGTTTGGGTACAGTGTTGCATGACAGCCCAATTGTCGTTTAAAAAAAAAAAAAAAAAATCTGCACTGGAACTTATTGCCCAAGGTAGTGCCCCGACCCCGTTATTTTTTTGACAACCCCTTGCCTACTAGCCCAGAGAATCGTCATTTTTAAGTTGACAGATTCAGCATCTGTTGATTTCAATGGGATGTAGGTTTGGCATCAGGGACGGACTGACCATTCAGGAACTCGGGCACTGCCCAAGGGCCCAGGGTCAGTAGGGGGCCCCATGAGATGCCCCTGGTACCTGTCATAGGCTTTTTTTGGGTGTTACAGGGGCGGACTGACCATTTGGAAACTCGGGCACTGCCCGAGGGCCCGGGGTAGGCCCCATGAGATGCCCCTGGTACCTTTTTCATAGGCTTTTTTGAGTTTGGGCAAGGACACAGGGGCCCCATGATCCCCTATTACCCGGGGGCCCCATGAGTTGTTAGTCCGCCCCTGTTTGGCATCCAAACTTCTTTGAAACCCCTGTCGAACCAAACCCAGGACAGTTCAGTTCATCACCATTCAAACCTATCAGAAAATGTTTAGCCTGGACATACAATGTGAGGTGGCCATGCGCAGATGTCTGATGTCTTGTCATCATGGTCAAACTCAATGCTCAGAACAGCTGCATGGCCTTTGTTGGAGTGTGTTTAGTCTCAATTTCAGTTTTGTGGTTCTTTACACCTTGTATCACCTACCTGCGCGGTCTGCCACGTCTGCCAAGGTCAAGTTTTGGTGATTTTTCCGAATCCTGAAAGTCACAGCAGATCCGGCCACGCTGCAAAGGGAAAACAAAATGTTTGAGCAATACAGGACTCGGCAACAGAAGGTCAACTTCAATGAAGAACTTCATTATATCGGTTTCAGTTCTGAAATATTAACAAAATGGGCCAACAGACCTTCAGGAATACATGATAATAGAAGAAATAATACCGCAAAGGTCACGTCTGAATGCATTAAAATGCCAACCCTGCAAAATGAATAGCATCTGCCTATCAGATGTATTGGCCCCTGTCCTGCACAGATCTGCCAGTTTCTGTAATTTATTCAATTATTTAGCTCATAAATACCTGTGCAGTTCAATGTGTAATAAGAGTTTAGGATTTCCAATTTCCTAAAGATTTATTTTTTTAAATCTTTATAATAATAATTTTTTTCATTTTGGATAGAGTAGGGAAGGGGTAAAGCATTCACTTTCTCAACTGCAGACACAGCAAGAAACAAGAAAACATTGCTCTACAGAAGTGGTAACCAAACTGTGGCCCGAGGGCCGAATGCAGCCCTTTCCATGTCCTTGTCTGGCCTTGGGGATTCTTCCCACAGATATGAAGCACTATTCCTCCCACTGATATTAACACTGAACCATTATTTCTTTGACTGTCAATAATGATGGGGCACTATACCTTCCACTAATACCAATGATGAGGCTCTATGCCTTCCACTGATACCAACAATGGGATTCTATACCTTCCATTGACATGAGCAATGGGGCTCTATTTCTTCCACTGACACCAATGATGGGGCACTACGTCTTCCATTGACACCAACAATGGGGCTCTATTCCTTCCACTGACAACAACAATGGGGTTCTATACCCTCCATTGACACCAACAATGGGGCTCTATTCCTTCCACTGACACCAACAATGGGGTTCTATACCTTCCATTGACACGAACAATGGGGCTCTATTTCTTCCACTGATACCAATAATGGGGCACTACGTCTTCCATTGACATCAACAATGGGGCTCTATTCCTTCCACTGACACCAACAATGGGGTTCTATACCCTCCATTGAAACCAACAATGGGCTCTATTCCTTCCACTGACACCAACAATGGGGTTCTATACCCTCCATTGACACCAACAATGGGGCTCTATTCCTTCCACTGATACCAATGATGGGGCACTACTTCTCACATTGACACCAACAATGGGGCTCTATTCCGTCCACTGACACCAACAATGAGGCTTGTTTCAATTCGGTTGAATTCCTTCAGCCTCAGGAGGAACATCTACTGGTTAGAAAAACTTCCCCATCTATGCTGTTCTCCCTTTGAATAGGAATTATTGGTAACTGACGATTCTTCATACTGCCATTGCTAAATGAGATACTGTGGATATCGAGTTGCTATGAAAATGCTGTTTTTGACTTACTTGCTATTGGTGGAAACTCTGCGATTCAGTGGTCTAGAGCAGTGGTCTTCAAACTGCAGCCCGCAGACCACATGTGACCTTTGCTTGCCTTTATCTGGCTCTTGTGGCACTGTTCCTCCCACTGATATGAGTCATTATTCCTCCCATTGACATAAAAAAGGGACATAATTTTTCTCACTTTTACAAATGATGAAACACTTGTTTTCCTAATGACACCATCGATGGGGCACTATTCCTTCCACTGACACCAACAATGGGGCACTAGATTCCTTCCACTGGTACACTGACAACAATGGGGCAAGGGCACTATTCCTCCCATTGACATTAAAAATGGGACACTATTCCTTCCACTCACACCAACGATAGGACACTATTCCTTCCACTGACATCAATGACAGGGCACTATTCCTTCCACTGACATCAATGACAGGGCACTATTCCTTCCACTGACATCAATGACAGGGCACTATTCCTTCCACTGACATAAAATGATGGGGCACTATTCCTTCCACTGACACCAATGATGGGGCACTATTCCTCCCACTGACACCAAGGATGGGACAATATTCATTCCAGTGACATTAACAATGGGGCAGTATTCCTACCACTGACACAAATGATGTGGCAATATTCTTCCACTGAGACCAACAATGGGGCACTATTCTTCCCACTACCATCAATGATAGATAAGTATTCCTTCACTGACACCAACAATGGGGTACTATTCCTCCCATTAATACCAATGATGGGGCACTATTCCTCCCATTAATACCAATGATGGGGCATTATTCCTCCCATTAATACCAATGATGGGGCATTATTCCTTCTACTTTCTATGGGTACTAGGTAATTTTTTTTACTCCTACTGACCACCAAGTTTGGGGCATTGTTTTACTTCCACTGATAGTGGGGGCGTTTTCTACTTCAATTGGCCATACTCCACCCCCCCCCCCTAAAGTATGTAGGACAGTAAACTGGCCCTTTGTTTAGAATGTTTGGAGACCCCTGGACTGCAATGTGATATTTAGGTGTCTCTGATTTCCCTTGGTGCTCCCTTCTTGCTATTAAGACAACAAAGCTCCCAAGACCTCCATCCAGTTCTTCAGTTGCTTGTACCTATATTACCTGGAGTTAGTGTCACCCAAAAAAGGTAGAGGGACAGTATTAACAAAAATGTAAAGCTATTTCTTTACATTTGATCTGTTTGGGTCTACGAAGGGAAGAATAAGTACTAGGTAAAATATGATTTAAGGGTGTTTAAAGCTTTTCAAATGTTCATGTTTTAGTTGGTTAAAGCCATAGTGAAGAAGGTGAAGAAGGTGCTATAGCTGTACTAATGGCAGTCTAGGTCATTGTATAATAATTCTAAGGTTACAAGTGAACATTTGCTCCATTTTAAAGAAAAAAATAATTCCTTCTCATGTTTAGGTTTAATTTTGTTACTGGGGCCTGACTTAAAAGAGAGGTATGGCCAAAGCTTTTTTAGCCATACTGCTCTTGTGGGGACACAGGAGTACAATTACTTTTGTTCTCCTGTGGCCCATATTAGATTATTGGCCGCTTTCAGCTGACGTGACAAAGTCTGATTGGCAGCTGTCTCTGCTTTTCAGAGTCAGAGCCAGCTGTGCCCCCGCCCTGCACTCCAGTGAGCACTAAAGGGCCAAGCGGAGAGCGATGATTGACAGTCAATGCTCTCTGTTCTGAGCAGATCAAGAACTGAACGATCAGTGATCATGCGATTGTTCAGTTCTCATTCTTACAGACGATGTGGGACAGCTGCAGCATGGAGGTAAGTATGTGTGTTTGTCTTTTTTTCAAAGCCCATATTTCTCCTTTAAAAGAGAAGTGTGGGTTTGTTATTTCCCCAACTTATGCTCACCTAGGTGGATGCAGCATCGGTCCCCTAAGAGTGAGAACTCAGCGACCACATGACTGCTGATCGCTGAGTTCTCACAGCTGATGTGAGCAGAGAGTGTTGACTGTCAGTCAGCGCTTTCTGATCTGCCCCCCCCCCCCCCCCCCCCCCACATTCCCTGGAGTGGTTAGCTATGGAGAGGGAGGGAGCGGCTGGCACAGGCTCTCAGCAGATCGCTGGGAGGGTGGGCCAGGTTCCGCTCCAGACTCTGTGGTGGATCCCGACTTTTAAGTCGGGATCTTTCCCCACCCCGGACCAGCTGAGTGATGTCAGCTGACGGTGGGCTTCAGCCCGCTGTCAGCTGAAAACGGGTCACAAAACAGACTGCACTCCTGTGATCCACAGGCAGGGCCATGGATAAGGAGGTACCACCAGTCTTCCTGTACGGGGCTCAAGCCAGCAGGGGGGCCCAGGCAGCTGGGTCATGTGGGCATGGAGGGTGATTGACACAGCGGAGGAGGACAGGGGCAGCAAATACTGGAATCGATCCCCTGCATGGTTCTTCCTGCAGCAGTTGAAAGATGGTCTTTTCTCCTCTCCCTTCCTGTGACTTTCAGCTGCTGCAGAGAGAGCCATACAGGGGATTGGTTAAAATAATTGCCCCTCCCTCTCCACTGCACCCACCAACCTCCCTATGCTCCATACGTTTCCCCCTGCTGCCCAGGCCCCCCTGTGTGCCCCCACTCCCGCAGTGCTGCCGACTTTCCTCCTCTACTTCCCAGCGGCAGCTGCAAGCACGGACCCTTCAGGATGGAGAGTGGGGAAAAGTCTGGTAAATATGTCACATTTACCAGCCCCCTTCGTTTCCTGAATGAACACAATAAGTGATCAGTACCGATCATTCACTGTGCTTATTCATAAATGAAGCATAGTATACTGTGTTTTTTTTTTGGGGGGGGGGGGGGGAGTCGCTGTTAGGTTGGCTGTATGGGATCCCGTGGTTTCTGACAGCAGATCTGTCCACAGCAGAAGTACAGCCAAATGAGCTTTGGCTGTACTTCTTCTTTAATGACTGTGGGGCCCTTTAATTGAAGGTCCCATCCATGCGGTTGCTGGACAAGGTCACAGTCAATCTTCAGTCTGGGTCGAGGATATATAAGAACCAGTAGGTGGAGGTGGGATGTTTGTGGTTGGGAAGAGGTTGAGGAGAAACTGTACTTGCAAACTGGGTGTTCACTGACCAGCAAGATGTGAGTCATGTGGGTGCTGTGTGTGGGTGCTCCTTTTCAGGAGAAGCATTGGGACCGCTCCCTAGAGGAGATGGAAGAATAGGACATCATGAGTTCCTTCATTGGGAGAAAGATGTTATGACTCCAAATTTTGAGAGCATTAGATTTCGCCTTACAATTGAAAAAAATGGAAAGGAATGTATTTGAGGACAGTCTTCTTATAGTTTGGGAACTTTTTTTTCTGATCCAAGTAAAGATTAGCCTTCCTATGGGAGGAATGACAATCCTGTCTGGGCATCCAATTATTTACGTGGTGGGGGGGGGCAAATAAATGTGCATTCAGGAGAGGGGGCAGACACCTGTGTAGTTTTTGGGCTCTGATGATGGCGCAAGTAAATCTGGTTCTTCCAGGCTGTTTGCTACTCACAGTGGTGATGGTGACAGCTTTGACATCCTCACTCACAGATTCTGCCCCATGGTTTACTCGGGACTGTGGGTCCTTTTGTTAGGTGACTCAGGAGCAGGGGCGGACTGACAACTCATGGGGCCCCCGGGCAATAGGGGATAATGGGGCCCCTGTGTCCTCGCCCACACTCAAAAAAGCCTATGAAAAAGGTACCAGGGGGCATCTCATGGGGCCCCCTACTGACCCCGGGCCCTCAGGCAGTGCCCGAGTTTCCAAATGGACAGTCCACCCCTGCTCAGGAGCAACAGTGAAGATTACTCCTGAACCCTCCAGCACCCTTGGGAGTCTACCATTTCTTCATTCTGCACATAGAAAGATTGAAAGTTCGGAGTTCCCCATGTGACCTGGTTGGATAGGAGAGCCCTTTGTTTGGGTGGCAGGTCTCAGACTGACCCAAACTGAAGATGACAGGCGTTCTGTATCATGAAGGGTTAAAGTGATTGTAAAGGCTCAAGGTTTTTTTTACCGTCATGCATAATATGGATGAAGGTAAAAAGCTTTCTGTGTGCAGCAGTGTCCCCAGCCCCCTCAAAATGTATTTGAGCCTCATCGCGATCCAGCAAAGTGAATGACAGCCTCAGCTGTTCCGGGTCTCTGCCTCCTCACTGGCTGAGACAGCAAGCGGAACCATTGGCTCCTGCTGCTGTCAATCACAGACTGTCAACCAAAGAGGGGAGAGAGGGGACGAGGTCACACCACAGCTCTGTGTGTGAATGGGCACACAGAGCAGAGGGTGCCCCCCATAGCAAGCTGCTTGCTGTGGGGGCACCCAACAGGAGGGAGGGGCTAGGAGAGAGCCAGAGAAGAGGAGGATCCAGGCTACTCTGTGCAAAACCACTGCACACAGCAGGTAAGTATAGGCATGTTTGTTATTTTCCACAAAAGAAAAAAAAAATGAACCTTTAGAATCGCTTTAATTGCTGAGCTAAAAGTAACCCCATCTTAAATAATTAAGGCTTGCAACCTGCTATTCCACTATCCAACTAGATTGCCTTAGTGGTCAGGAAGGGCCAACTCACTGAACAGGGTGATGGCAGTTAGTGGAACTTAAGGCAGGCATAGATGGAGCGATTATCTTTCCTGTAACTACGAGCTATAATAGCAGCTAGCAATAATCATGTCAAATCTAACAGGCTCAATGTACCCAAGTTGATTGATCAATCAACTTGGGTACATTCAGCCTGCCCATACTTGGTTCGACTCTCGGCCAGTCTCTGATGAACTGTCTATGGCAGGCTTTAGCCATGAACTCAGAATACGTCATGCTCCAGTAAGCAGGATGTGTGTTATCCCATGCTTATCTTAAATATAACTGTGATACTAATGCCCTTCTATAAAATATAACCCCTCTATAAAAAGTGTTCTACCAGCTGGTGAATAAATACACTCATCGGCCACTTTATTAGGTACACCTGTTCAATCACTTGGTAACACAAACTGCTAATCAGCCAATCACTTGGCAGCAACTCAATCCATTCAGGCATCTAGACATGGTGAAGATGGCTTGCTGAAGTTCAAACCGAGCATCAGTATGGGGAAGAAAGGGGATTTCAGTGACTTTGAACGTGGCATGGTTGTTGGTGTCAGATGGGCTGGTCTGAGTATTTTAAAAACTGCTGATCCACTGTGAGTGAGTGTATACTATGTACTGGTTTACAAACTGTCACATCATTTTAAGCCAGAGTAAGACCAGCAACACAGCAAAATGGGCAGTGTAAAAGGGATAATCCATGCAAAGGGGGTATTGCTGTTGGAGTCAAAGGTTGTGCCTACAGGCTCTAGCAATGGAAATCAAGTCTGAGCAGTTGGTAGCTTTCTGGCAGTACAGGTTGCAAATTTAAATTTCCACAATATACATTAGACATATCTTCAAAAATATTGGCTGCCTACCATACCCCTGCATTTTTTTTAAGTGTTGTATAGTTATACTTGAAAGTAATGCTGTGGTTACTATCGGTTTATGAAATTACCATTGCTTTGAATTTGAAATTCTAGGCATTTCCAGATCTCTTCCCATTGTTCACACAAAACCCCTGCAGTCCTAGAAACTCTGCTAAGCAAATAACCACCAGCTATGGTCAACAGATTTAGCCTCCCTTGCCTACTCCTATGTCTTACCATTGGCCTATCACTGTAATGAGTGGCCTGACCAAGCAGAGGGCCAGAGCAATGAGAGTTGGTTGCTTCATGTATGTCAGAACACAGTTGTCTAGTGCCCCCTTTTTTGCAAGTCCGCTCCCTCCATTTTGTAAACTGACTAGCATCCCAGACCAGTGGGATATTCCATCAGTCAAGTGGAAACACATAAGTGGTCATAGCAGGTGGAACACAATGGCTTCTGCCATTTATTCATATTGTAGGAAAGATTCCCTCCCAATTTTCTGGGGAACACTAGACTAAATCACTCTCCAGAGTTTCTGAAGTACTCTTTAAAGAAAGGAAATCTGCATGCTCTTGGAATTGCTTTTGGAATTGCCAGCTATTGGAATTGCTCTTGGAATTGCCTGCATAAGCTAACGGTAACCACACATTTAGTTTAAGTTAAAGTCTAACCTCAGCCAAAACATTTGTTTTAGTTTTAGATAGCTCAAGGAAGGGTTAGAACCTCTAACAGATTGTAAATGCTAATGTTTGGAAGAACAAGAGCTGAAGATCCTTCTTCAGAAGAAGGATCAACGTTACTCCTGAATCCTCCAAAACCCCCAAGTCTACCATTTCTTCATACCAAACAGCAACTGATGATGGGGTACAAACCCCTTAAACATGTTGGATTTTTAACTTGGATATTAATGGTGACATAATATAGTGTGGTATTCTTGTTTCATTCAAATATTTGGATCTTGGTCAAGGCACTACTCAAGGCCCCTACGTGTCTAAGAAAGGCTTAACCTGAGCCACTGCACTCTACAAGATGGGATCCAATGCCTGTCACTTTAAATTTTGTCTCTGTCTCCAATGAGGAGATTTCTCTTTCTCTACTTGGACAAAAAGTAAGTATCTCCAGAGTGGGGACAAAGATAGAAATAAAATCTAGAGAGAGGTTCTAAACTTGTCTGAACCCATCAAATAGATGGTAAAAAAGGAGAAATCTCCCAAATGCAATAGAAAGTTGACAGAGTATAGTTTCCTCACACTTGATCCAAGACTAAAAAAAAAATGGTTGGAGTTGGGCTTTAAGTGAGTAGACAAACGCACCCAAAAGCATAAAGATCAGCTCTAAACATACATTTCATCTGTGAAGTTTCTCATTTATCCAGGTATAGCTAGTAGGAGTTAGTCACATTCAATGGGGCTTGTTCTGTAATGTTCAACTGCTCAGTTTCCTCAGTTCTAATGGTTGTCTGGAACATACCCCAGCATTGTTTGCCGCACAATTCGATCAACCTTAACACATTCAATGGTATTTGGTTTAAGATGACTGAGATACTAGGGTTCGTTCCTGATACTCATTACAACTGAAGGAACTGCTTCAATAAGCAGCAAGCCATCTTCAACATTACAGAAAAGGTTTTGTTGAATGTCATTAGCTACTACTAGCAAAAAAATACAATAAAGTGCATCATATTATCTTCTAATCTAGAGCTGCACTGCTTGGTACTTTGTTTCATTAGCTTTTATCACTGTACTTGTCGCTGTGACTATTAGTCTGTATGTAGGAACCTTGAGTAAGTTGCTTCTCCTCACCTGATGTTGATGAAGCTGGAAGTGGACAGATGGACTCGCTGGGCCAGGATTTCCAACAGACGAACCCCATTTATCAGGCTCAGTGGCCTACGGAGAAAGGCAGAGGGGTGGAGGTAAGCCCAGGGTTGTGGCCCTTCCAAGGACAATGTGACCCACCCTCCCCACAGCAGTTCTTGACCCTTGTCTGTAAGACTGACTTATCCTGAGGTGTGTAACTAGCATGTTGAAATACTGATCTGTACCTATTTATACAACATTGTTGGTGTGATATTAAGGTGTCCACAGGGCTACTGTTACATGAAAGGCCCTGCAAGCACAATGACTAGCTACACTATATGACCTAAAATATGGGAACAACCTTCCAAATTATTATTAGTGCTGCTAAAGGTAGATGATTTTTTTTTTACCTTAATGCATTCTATGCATTGAAGTAAAAAACCTTCTGGATGAAGCTGCCCCCCCCCCCCCCCCCATACTTACCTAAGCCCTATCTCGATCCAGCGATGTGCATGACTGCAGCAGCTCTTCTGGGTCTCTCTCCCCGCATTGGCTCCCGCTGCTGTCTGTCACAGCCAGTAAACCAATGAGGAAAGAGCAGGGGCCAGGGCTGAGCTGCATTCCATGTGTGCTCGGAAGCGAGTCTGCTTGGTCTCACCCACTGCAAGAGACTTGCACTGAGTAGGGGGGAGGAGCCAGGACCGCCATCAGGGGACCCAAAAAGAAGGGGATCGGGGCTGCTCTGTGCAAAACCATTGCACAGAGCAGGTAAGTATAACATGTTTTTGTTTTTTAAATTACAACCTTTATGTGTGGGTGTTTCCAATGAAGAGTACTGTTAATGGGGCTACAGCCCTATAAAGACATTTTAGACACTTGTGCTCTTCTAACATTGTAATAACATTTTGGGTAGGGTTCTTTTCTGTTCCAGCATAACTGTGCCCTTTTGGACAAAGCCAGCTCCATAAAGATATGGTTTAATGAGTTTGGTATGAAGGAACATGAGTGGCCTACACAAAGCCATGATCTCAACCCTACTAACACTATTGGGATAAAAGATAAAAGAGAAAGCTGATTGTGGGGCAGGTCTTCTTATTTAACATCAGTACCTGACCTCACAAAAGATCTTTGCCTGAATGGGCACAAATACCCTCCTTCCCAGAAGGGTGAAGGTGGCTAAATCTGAAAGGGTGGGCCAACTCTATATTAAAGCTGTGGTTTAGGAATGGAATGACCAACAAGCTCATAAAGCCGTGATGTTCAGGTGTCCACAAATATTTGGTCATATACTGTATATGCAGCTGGGTAGGG